ACTGATCGCGAAACCCGCGAAAGCGGTAGAGAACAAGCGAGAGGAACGCTAATATCTTTGTGGAAGCGGGACGCGGAGCTCGGAGATGGTTGACTTGATGAAATCATGCCGCGAGAATTAAACCGAGGGATACCCGTGGCGTGTGTCGTCGTCGTCGTCAGCGGCGCGACGTGTGGAGCAGGAGGACTCGGCTCGGGCTCCAATTGGCGGGAGCAAGACAACGGTAGGAGTTGACTGCAGTGTATACACAGTTAATTAAGCCGGAGTACCACGGAGGACGGTGGTGCGCGGGTGTTCAGAGGCAGGAGAGATCGCTGAAACAGCAGACAGAGAGGTGTGCCGGAGGATAAAGAGAGGAGAGCGCATGCTGGAACGAGGAGACAAAACGAGAGAGAGTCGCTCCCGTCGATGCGAGAGAGACAGGGACGAACGATTTTGTCCTGTGGGCTGCAAAGGTAATTTGCTCTCTGGATATGCAGTCTCAGCGGTTCTCAAATCGCGCGACGAACGGTCCACGGCTTCGAACGGCGCGACGCGGTGCCACTTCTATCTATTATCACTCGATGCTCTCAAAATTTCGTTTGAGACCCGATTTGCGGAAGGAAAGTCCTCCAGCTTCCCGTCGGCTCTTTATCAATCGACTTTTCGATTCGGCTGTTATGCGGTTTTTTCAATTGAAAAGAGACCGTTCAATTTACGATGTTTTTTCCCCAGTGGATTGAACGGACTAAAAATCGACTGCACTTTTTCCCAGCCGCCGATTACTGCGCGATTGTTATGCATTGTCGAAAGAAATTGCGAGCGCGAAATTGCGTTTCCCGTCGCGGTGGGATTCTTGCGGATGATGAACGAGAAATACGAATTAAAAAGCAATACATAGTCGCTGTTGGAATTGCTCAAAAAACATATTGTAGGTAGTCCGCGATGTGTATGTACATTCTGTGAATCTTCTCTAACTCGATTTCTAAACTGAACCTTCACCGACAAACGGACGTTATTTTTTTCATTTCGAACGATTCCATTCGAGTCAGTTATGATTTTCGTCGGTTTTCGAAGTTCGCGTTCGCCACATTCTACGCCACTGGGACCGGTCCGACGAGCGAATTGAAACCGCCGAAAAAGCGAAAAATGAAAACCTAAATTCGTGGCGTTTACCGCAACGCGACGATTTTCCTTGCTTCAATCGTGAAAATGCCCAGTGCCTAACGAGTTTTTCCCTGACGAACTTTCTCTTCCGTTTGTAAAAATAAATTTTCATATAAACGCGTGCACGCTTTGTACAGAAAATAATTTAACAATTTCGCATCACGTTGACATGCTGCCTACAAATTTCTTCAGAGCGTATAGTAGAATGGCGCACGGCGGATTAAGCGACGGAAATCTGTTACCGTTCCTCGGACAACCCGCTGAGAGTTTTCTCAAAACCTGTCGTGAAATCCGTCTAAACACTCACAATGCCGACGCCTCTCGAACTTCGAATACCACCACCCGCGGTTACAGTAGGCCAAACAAGCTTTTCTTCCACGGAAAACATCGGTCCGGCGCGGCAATGAGCTAGATACGCTTTTCGGGATTCCGTTCATCTCCTCTACTTCGCACCTCGCGCTTGGATCGTCGTTGCACGTATGAATTGAGCCAGGGAGAGATTCGTTCAGGGAAAATTGGAGCGGATTCCGGCGCCTTGTGAACGTTCTCAATAGCCAGTACAACGAAATTAGACTTATCTCGGTCATCGAGGGCCACCGTGCAGCTGCTTTCAGATTCACGTGAATGGACTGGCCCAGTTTTCCTTTATTATGTTCTCGTTTCGAAGGCTCGCGTACCGATTTGCAAACAGAGTCCTCCTTGTCGGTTGCTCTTTTCGGCGACCGGGACACGCGCCATTGTCGACGACCGATCGATCATGATCAGCGATCTTTAAGATTCGGATACAATGAGGATTTCCATAGAGAGAATTTTCCATACAGGATTTTTAGGCAATTTCGAGGATACTCGATTTTGTTCCCTTTATTGGCTGGTCAATGGAGAGGGCTTGTACCGCATTGTACGGTGGTGTATAAAATTCTTTTGCATCGCAGAATAGCGAGAATAGTGAGATGTTATAAGATTTAGAAGAATGATTTCGGGGATTATGCGACGAATTCTGTTCTTAATTTCTTAAAAACTTTGACAAAATGTAACATTTATGCGACGAATTCTGTTCTTAATTTCTTAAAAACTTTGACAGAAATCTGAATCTTAACAATAATATTCAGGGTTTAATAAATTGTTATTAGAGGATAAAAGTTCATGAACGATATCTGCTTCTTAAAATTATTTGAAAATTTAAAAAGGAGTTAGCTCTCACACCGACAGGAAATCAGGCAAGCTAAAGGGTCCGCTTATCTCTGGAAGTTAGGCCAGTATCAAATGCTCCCAATCCGTCAAACAGGTTAAAACGTTTAACTGCCATGGGGCTACCTGAGTTTTTCGGGGTTCCCATCGAAAGTAATCTAGCCAAGGGATCCCTCGAGCTTCTTGGCCGAGGATCAACCTTCAGGAAATTAGTTAAAACTGGAGCTAAGTGCTGCTCCAGCTCGACCCGGCTACGAAATAAACGCGTCGATCTAAACTCCGTGCCTCCCTGTCGCAGATATTTATCGCGGTAAGTGGGATCCGGTTAAATGCAACTTGTGATCTGATTTCTACGGAACATCTAAAAGCCCTTTCCCTTTCTTCTTTCTCTTGCTGCCTGGGTTAGGCAGATTCGTGGCCGAGATTACCAGAGTGGAAAACGGAGTCGTTTGTTAATGCGCGTAAACATGACATGCAACAACGACCTGGCACGTGGGAAACGCTGCAGTACAAAGCGCCTCGAGATTGTCGATGATAGATCTATTATGAATCATTCCTATAATACTTGATTTAGCTTTCATTCAATTGATCAACTTTCGGTTTATTGAGGCATGTACGTATTTGGTTCATTGAAAGGTAATCATTTTCAAACCGCTGTATCATAGATAGATGTTTAATATAGCAGAGCCTACCTTTTATATTGAAATACAGAATGTCTAAGCGAAAAGACCCCATCTAAATATCTCTTCTGTTTTTCATGTTACGAAAAAGCTTCATAGCATGGTGTAAATAGCTTACGATGAAAAATATCTTGTAATAAAACATTTCTTTATTTATTTTTCCGTTTTATCCCTTTGACAAAATATTTTTCTTGGCTCATTTGTTTCGACTTATTCGAGGTCATATTTTTATGTGAAAAATATATATTTTTTATGGCTGTAATACGATATGAACCAAATGTCAAAATGAACTGGAATTTTTAGGGGAGTGGGAGGAAGAGACAGAGAACCCTGAATATAGAATTTTAGCCATGGGTCTTTATTAATTTTTAAGAGAAAAATAAGCTAAGTCCCTCATTTATAGGAGTCACATTTAATAAGTTTGCGTTTCACTCCCAAAATTATAATTGCAAACGATACTTGTCACGAAGTCCAATCGTAGAACGGTTTTAGACGGGCAACACTTTATTTAGCAGTATGTATAATTATAATCGGGACGCGTGGACTGGCGGCTGGCGGGCTAGATTTTTTCCTCCTTCCATAACGGAAGGGCCGTGAATCGGCCCGCAACGTATAATTTGCCTCGATTTTCGACGGATCGATTTTGAACAGCTACTGTTTCGCTACAGGCGGATATCTTTTGTGTCGCGGTTTTGTGGGCGTACACTTCCCCCTGGGCTAAAACGCCAAATGGTAACAACGATACGCGGAATCGAATGCGGAATGGGAAGCGTGGATTTGTTTTCTGCGCGCCACCGTTTTCGAAGTGCGTAAACTAAAAGAGGAAAAAAAGTAGGAAACGACCGTGCAGTATCGGACGATCCTAAAAATTGTCGTCTGTTCTTTCTTTGTCGCTGAAGTAATTTCAGATGTTCCTGAAAGGAAATCGAGATAAAAATCGACGGCATAGCAGCAGTTCTGTGGTTTCGATTTCGCACCCCCAATAAAATAGAATATTGAAAAAATTGTCGTGCCGATATTTGCTGTTTCTTCAGAAATTTGCTACTACAAATTAATCCTATCTATTAGACGGTATCAACTCAGGTGAGAGAAGCAACGAATAAAAAGTACTTTACATAATCAATCATCCCAGCTGCAGCATCTTTCTAAAGCGAGCGGTGTATCGTCAAAGAACAACGACATTATCCGTGAGTGAGGGCAGAGAGAACGGGATCGAAACGAAGCAATTACGCCGGCTGAAACTTCATCATCTCCCTATCGGTCGCGGTCGCACGAAACAGGGAGGTGGAGGCGAGTTAAACGGCTTAGAGGCGAGCGTCTTCGAAAAATCGCGACGCCATCGGTATACGCATAATGTGCGTAAACCAGCCGTTCAGGTAGCGCGCGCCGCCGCCGTCAAGTCAGCTCTCGGAGCACCCGCTTCGAACACTCAGAAGCGTAGGAGGCTTGGCGTAAGCGGTAAGCTTTACCTCATTTCTGGCAATTACAGGGGATGCCAAAATCCGCCGCAAGAATCAAGCCGCCACCGGTCTCGCGTGTGTATGTACGCGGAACCGTAACGCGGCGCGTATGTGTGCGGGGTCCGTTTACGAGAGCCACCCCTTTGCGATGCACGTGTGCGGGTACAGCCGCCCCGTGCATCCGTCCCTCACTCGCGCACGGCCGCGTGCACGCACGAGAGGCTCGAATTAGTGCGCGTACGGTGTCACAGAAGCCCGACTCGAGTCTACCTCTTCTACCCCTGCGAATTAACCCCTCCTAGGGATCCGGCAGGGGAGAGGGTGAATCGGTTTCCAGTGGCGTTTGAGCACCACTGCCTCGCCATGTTCTCGGATCGCAGTTTCGATTGGCCGGTGATACCACGAACGACGACGTGGATTCGTGGAGCCAGGCCACGCCTCGACGCAGCGAAACCCGGACCAACCTCTTTCGAAACGCTTTGGTGCTGGTAGTTGTGTGCGGATACAACAAAGGCCACCCCGCTGCTCGACCAACCGACTAGTCCTCGTTGGCACGACGCACGCTCAACAGCTTCAACCTTTACCGGCGACAATTTTATTTCTCACTGGCCCGCCGACGAAACATCCTACAGACCGTCGAGCTCGCTTAACATCGTTGGAATCTTTTCATTTTCCCGAGATTTTAAAAAGCTGACTTTGGCTCGATCGTCCAGCAGCTTGGTTACATCGCGGGATGACCGTGGATGAGGCCATTTGGAACCGTTTGTATTGGGAACAGTTGGTCTGGAATTATTGAAGAAACAGAAGGACTTGATGTCAAGGTACTGTTAGGGAGGCCGTGTATTATGCCCTTCGAAAATTTGCTATCGAGACAGTTCAGTCTGGTAAAGTAAAAATTGAGTGTTGGAAAAACTATGAATATTAGTGTTGTGCGCCAAGGATCAATCATGAGACGTGCCTCAAACCGATTTTATCGTTGCCAGCACCGAGTGCATCTCTGTGTGAACATTATAATTCACTGAACACAGCGACAAATTTTATTCGACGCATTGTGAGCAGGTACTATTAATAAGGTGACTGTAATCCAAGTGTATTCAAGGACAGCAAAAGGAAACACAATTGCGTAATGAAGTAATCTTCAAAATGAATTTCGCAATTGGAAACACGTGTTATGGACAATCGTTTCGTATTTCGATGAGCGACTACTAGTGGATTTCTCAGAGTTTTCATCAGAAAAGGTAATTAACCTAAAGAGCAGCCTTATTAAGGATTAAGGTTCGGATTTGCGACGATGGATTCGCAGCAACTCGTCGACACAGCCTCTCAGAATAGTCAAGACATGGTCTTGCCGAAGCCAGCAAACAGTACACCAAGACACAGCATCGACGCGATCCTTGGACTGGCGAACAATAAAAGGAATCATCAGGAAATGGAGGATAACGCTCGCGACACTCAGGAAAATACAGGTAACTGTTATTTCCAGGCTCCATTCTATTTATTTTACATACTTGTAGGAATTAGAAATTTCAATTAAAACATGCACTTATACGTCTTTACGATGACAATAATTATTCAATTTCCTTTTTCCATTCTCAATAATACAATTTGTACACTATGTATCATAAAAAAGGGTTATATTTTAAATATCACGCTTAATTACAATGATTTTATAAACTGTATGTGAGGGAAAATGATTCATCGTGTTCGTTTGGGATAACGATGCTTATCAAAATTGCAATTAATTAATTTGTTGACAAAAGCCGTATCACGCAAGTGTGGCACGCTCCGTCCGTCGGACTGGTGCACGCTGCTCGACACTGATACCTCGTATGTTCCTCTCGCTACCCCAACGGCGAATCCAGGACGCTTGGATCCGAAATCCCAAAACGGCTCGAGTTACCCTCGGAGACTTATTAACAAAGCAGCTTCGATCAATCATTTCATCCAATTACTGGCCTCGCTATTATTTCCCGGTCGGAAAGAGAATTTAATTTAATTGTGTGCGCGGCAACGTGGAGCGTCGACCGCGGTATCTTGGCTTTTAATAAGTTCTCACGATATCTGCGTCTCTTGGATGAAATTAAGAATTGTTATATCTCAATTAATTGAGCTAAATAATTAATTGCTAAGATAACGGGATTGCTCTACTCATTATGTGGGATTCGTTTGAATTCCTTCGGCGGCTGTTTGGAGCGATTAAAGGGTTACGCAGTGTACAATAGAATTTAGTTGTTTCGGTGCATCCGCAGTCCGCCGCGATTAGCGGAACAAATAAATTGCTATCCCGCATGCGCGACAATATTGTTCCGATCGGACCAATTAATGGTACGCTAGTTAAGCAAATCGAGATGACGCGGCCGATAATTTTATCCTGAAAGCCTTAATGCGTCTTGCTCGCGACACCAATTACTGAAATGCATCAACGCCAATACATTTAACCTGTTTTGCTGACGTTAGAAAATAAGAAACAATTCCATTACGATGAAATTGTTGAAAACAATTTCACTAATTTCTACATAACTTCAGAGACATTCGTTCTATTAATATTTGTTCATATAATTCATCAGTCTCCTCCTTACGTAAGTGACGCAACAGTAAAATTAAGACTTCTTTGCTATGTTTGCTGTATGTTAAAATCCAATAATGCTATCAAGTAGTACATATAGTAGCAAACAGATAACCTATTCATAATCATTGCACTTCACCCGCTTCAATCGCCAGAGAGAATAATCGCAACAAACTTTTACAAACTTATATCAGAGCTCGTTACGTTAACCGTCCGTCATGAATATTTAATGTTTTCAATTATCTTCTTTAATATTCGTTTACTCGTACTTCAGATATTAATCAAATATTTCGTAATCCGTTTAGTATTCATCACACGAAGTATTCATCGACTTACCGTCCGATTTGATCATCATCATTTCTTCAATCTCATCTGTTCGGGCACAACGAACCCGAAAAATTACCGCTGTGTCAATTTATGCTATTACTTCGCCCCGAGATTCGAACGTCGGTGACATTATACGGTTACCGTGGCCGCGCGGAGCGGCGGCGTCCACGGCGGATGCGGCAGTCCACGTTATCGTATAATTGAAAAATCGTTAGTATCGCGACGATCTGGCTCGTGTGCGGCGGTGGTGGCACGGTGCTATGCACGCGGCTAATTAGTCGTCGAGGGGGTCGAAGTGAACACGAGCCGGCAGCGGCCGTTGGTCTATCGGGCAACCAGCCCGAACGTATACTCGATAATTTCAATTTCGAGTACCAGCCGTCGAGTCGCATCGGTCTCTTCATCGTTTGTCGTTCTCGTTAAAACCTGGCTCTGGCCACCGACTGTCGTTTACGATGTCACTCCGTTCACCCTGTATCGAAGTTCCACGCGGTCGCTATCGACGCAACACTCACGCCGCGGAGGATAAAAATCGACAAAACAATTTCGTACGCCGCTATTTTTCCCCGTCGAAATCGAAAGCCGCCGTTAACGAAAACGTAACGCGCGGATCGAGGAGGAGACCGGGAGGAGTGTAGGAGGAGAGAAAGAGATAGTACCAATCGATTGATACACGGGGGTTCACCACGGGAATCGGCAACCATTTCGACGAGGGGAATTAACATGGTCCCGTCCTCTTCCGGTGTTCTTGGTCCTCTGTTTGTCGTATTGCTAAGCTCCGTGTAATCTCGTTGCCCGCTGGATTACGGTAATCGATAACCTGAAACGCTTTTGCATAATGTACTTGTCGTTTGTCACCGTCGATAGGTAGATGCGTCTCGTTTAGCGGTAACGTAGTACAAGATCGGCTGCGTCAGAAGGAACGAACGGCAGCGAGAGAAGAAAGAACGCGATCGTTGATGACTTTCTGATTTATTTGGTTACGGTTTGACCCTTCATTCTTTTTGCATCGATTAATGCGCCCCGATAGAGTGGTCGTTTGAACGTCCATCAGGCGCTGGCGCTTGGTAGCAATTAAGTAGCCCTCGATTTATCTTTATTTGATTGTGTTCAGTTTGATCGGTGATACGGGCGCGAAGATAACGAGGCAACGTCGTTGAATTTTTAATTAGTTTAGAATTTAATAGCTGATTACAACTTTGTGGGACTTGCTTAACATAGAAATGTTTGTCATTATACAAGCAGAGTTTGTTTTGCAAGAGTTATCAGGAAATGGTCGAGTCGCTTGGATCTTTTAGACCTCATATCAATACACGCATGACATAATATCGCGGAAATTAGAAAGCGGGGAAATCGAGGGGAGATGATTCTTCGGTAGAGAGCATCAAACGAGGAAGGAAGAAAAGCGAGGAGAATGAACGGAGGCTGATTGCCGGAGACCAGAGTCGTGTCCTGCTAATCGAATTATCATTAATGATGATGCCGTACGCGAGAAGGAAGAAAAAGTAAAAGACAAGCTCGGCCTCCGCTAATAAGTACGATGGCGGTTAGGTAGGAGAACGAGGAGAGAGAGCCGAAAAAAGGAGATAGATGGAAGCGGCTTTAAGTCAGTCGCTTCTTAAAAGCAGAATTGACGTGTCTACTAATGGATCGCGCCTGCCCCATCTACTTTCTTCTCCAACCTCTTTTTCGTCGTTTTCTTCTTCTACTTTATCCGCATCTTCTTCTTCTTCTTCTTCCTTCTGCTCCTTCATCTGCATTCACTATCATCGGTGAAGCTGCTTTCGTAATTTTAAAATGGATCTGTTATCCTCGTTGAAAGGTTTTTGCGCAAGCAGATTTGAAATGTTCTTGAAAGTGAAAGGCTCTGTGTTTTTAACTTATTGATCAGCAATTTTTCATAAAAACTTGATTTAATTGAATTCTGAAACACTAATATCAATGTCTCTGATAATCACGTCGGATATTTGAAATAGCATGGCTATGATTTTTCATACCTCTTTCATTATCACGACTGTCATTCAAACAAAACTGCATAATGCGATCATCCGGGAAAAAGGTAGAACGAGAAAACGTTAAACGGTTTTGCTCGCATTCTCATATGACGCGACATTCAGTTTGTGCCTGTCGCCCGTTTTAATTTCTATCGGTCGTGCGTTTAATGAAACGGAGCTCTCTCGCGGCGCACGGGATCGATCCATCCGGCGCGTACAGAACGATCGTTAATATTTTCAATTAAAGAAGAGATTAATCATCCGTTGCTGGTCGTTTTTACCTCCTTCCGATCCGGCCGAGATCATCGATTATTCATTTCGTTCCGAACGCGCGACGTCGTTAATGCTCGAAATTACAGTCTAGTTAGGCAGATTGATAAGCTTCCCACGTGAGGATATAATTCGAAACAACACGTCGTCGAGATAAATCGGTTCGATAGGTGAATTAAGGTAGGTGGGGAGTAAGAAAAAGGAGGAATAAAAAGAGGAAACGGCAACAGGACTGAAGAAGAAAAAAGGAGAAACGACCGCGGGAGGAGCGTTAAGTGTGGCGCAATCAATCTTACCTTGTACGCGCGCCGGAAGATTAATGCACTTTCAAATTTCATTAATTCTTCGCTGCATAATGAGCCGCGGGGCGCTCGAACGAATAACTTTCCTTAACGCCGCGATAATGCCGTCGAGACCCCGCAACGTAATTGCATCAATTCCTTGGTAATTCGCACAATTATCCTTTCTGATTTTCCGGCACCGGCATCGTGATAGCTAACTGCTCGAGAGCACGCTCCCAATTAATCACGCACGGCCTCCGCGTATCTCTCCGTAGTAATTAAACTGTGTCGTTGCTACGATTCGGGACATTTAATCGAGTGTCTTCCGCGGGCGATCCGCCGAGACGAGCCGACCGAGGAGAACCGTCGGATCTCCAGCTCCCGTATTTCTATTTCTGCCGCGAGATCGATATTACCGCGGCGACGACGTCGCCGGCAGCTCTATTGCGTATTAATTACTTGGCAGTTTCTCGGGACCGTTGCTAAATGTTAAAAGTTACACGCGAACGGTGTAATTAAGACGCCCGAGCGTCCCTGAGAGATCGTTCTTAAGTACCGGGTACATCCACTTTCAATTACACGCTCGAGAACGACGCGGGTTCAATTAAGAACGATCATCGCGTTTTCTTACTGGATGGTAGCACTTACCCGCCGCGGCGACGACAGTCGGCCTGCCTCAAAGGAGCAGTAAAATCGAAGGTGAACCGTGGACTTTCACCGCGAGAAGATCGTTCCGATAAGCAGCTGCACGGATTCAATCCCGGGCCTGATGCGCTTCAAAATAGCGCGTAACATCGCCGCGATTCATCCAAAACGTGTAATCGATGGTTTCGAGAACGTTGGTTACCACTCCTCTACGCTTCACTGTATCGGCTGATCAACACTTTTATTTTAAAGGAAACTGCAAATTATAATCAGACCTGGTAATAACTGGATAAGGAGAGAATGATCATGCAACGAGTGTAGATAGCAAAGGATCGAAATCATCGTGTCGAGTTATGATTTTCATGTCGAGTTAAAACTGCACA